TACCGTAAAGCGCAAGTACCTCCCTCGCCATGTTGAGCGTCAGCCCGACATTGAGATGCAGCGAGTCCCTTCTTCGCAACCTCATGAATGAGGCGTTCATCTAGGACTCTGCGTTTTGCCTTGGTCCCGTCGGCTCCATGTCTTTTTATTTATGACACAACTTACAGTTGCACCGTAGGTAAACTGTTCTTCTTCGAATTTTTTTCCTCCTCGGCCTCTTCTTTTTTTCTTCTTCTCTCTACCTCAAGACTATTTGCACATGTAATGCCTGTTGCACCTTTTCCACAGCCCTTTGAATCATCCGGCGTCTTAACTTTCAAGCCTTACATACCCCTTTCCTCCTTCTCTGATATGTCGAGATGCTCGCGCCAGTAGCTTATTTGAAGCATCACTTGGCTATACTTTCCTTGCAAGATAATTTTCCTTGTTGTTTACTCTAGATGCACGCCACCTTTACTCAAGGTGCATATCTCCGGTTACCCGGCCCAACTTGATATCACGCGATGTTTAGGGTTATATGTACAATAAGTCGAATACATTTGTGCAGATAGACTACAAACGATTGGTGCTTGTCGAAGAGGCGATGTACAGAAGCGTTGAAAAGGAAAAAAAAAACCATTGGCAAGAAAAAGAGCGAGAGGTGCGCAAGTACTGCCGCCTCACAGGAGGTAGTCCGGCGGCATGACATGGAAGTATGTATGTAGCAATGTTGGGATTATGGCTATAAGAAATGTATAACCCCGCCTGCACGAGATAGAGTCTGCAGCACAGAGAGACTGTGGATTGAAATTACGCTGGGAGAGGTTGTTTCTTGAGCCATTTGCATTCCGCGGCGCCGTCCTTTCGGGGCTGGTGAGAGATAATAATATAATACGGACAACTCCTCCTCCTCGAACCCTCTCCGCACCTCCTCTTCCTCCTTTCCCTCGCCCTCGCCCTCGCCCATTTTCCTCCCCCATCCAAGCCCTTAGCCATTTCTACCAGCTGGGAATTTTGCGCCGTGGTTCTTTCTTGCGGGATTTATCATGATCCGGGCGATATTTGAGTTCTGATACGGTTCACTCCTGGTGACAAGGCCTCCATCAACCCGAATCAGTCACGCATCTTCCCCGTACACAGCCCACCTCAGGTCAGAACCAGTTCGGATTTGACTCCTTCTGCTTGCGGACTGTCAATCTCTCTCGCAGACGCTATTTATTGATATCTGTTGAAGTACTCTTGACTCTCGTATACTCACCGCATCCCGATTCTCCCCCAAGATTCTCACCATGGAACGCTCAATTGGGTTGTCCGGCGCGTCTCCCGCAACGCCCGCCACTCTTGCGGACCTCCAGAAACACACCCATGACCATGCAGACACTTCAATGACGTTCGAGTACACCGAACAACTTCTCACCCCCGAGAACAGTCGCTCCGAGACCTCAAGCAACAATGAGAACGCGTCCCACGAAGAGAAACCGACTCAACGCCGACGATCAACACGTGTAACACGCGCTTCGCTGCGGGGGGGCCTCCGACCAGATGACCTGGCTGGGGCGGGTAAACACAATGGCTCTTCTCTTGGAGACGAGAACGATCAATCACTTGCCGGTCAAGGCGAACCCGAGAAGCCGAAGCGATCATCCTCTTCCTCCGCCTCCCACCTCCGCCACAGCATAGCGGTAATGGAAACAACCCTCTGGGCCAATGAGCAGTCGAGCCTTGGCAACCACCCCATGACCCCGGAGACGCAGGCTTCCGAGAAATCATCCCAGGAGCCGCCGTCCGAGGACATTACCACATCTGTGCAGCGACGGAGTCTCCGCAAGCGCGTGGAGCGGGTGCTGACCCAGGACGAGAAGAAGGAGCAGGAGAAGGTTACAGCCATCGTGGAGGCTGTCAAGGAGAGCAGTCCAAAGCCCACCCGACGCTCATCGCGGTTGAGCCTCTTGGAAAAGGCATCGGACTTGGTAAACCAGGCGACCAGCGTACTGGGAAAGCGCTCGCGTGATGAGACGGAAAAGGGCAAAGACAGCGGCGAGCGTCGGTCCGGACTACGACCGCGTAACGTTGTCGTCCCTAGCAAGGAAGATCAGCCGGTCTCTGCACCTACCAGTGACCCTTCGTCGAAGAAGAGACGGGTCTCGGAAAGTGACTTGTCTGCTGCGGCCAAGGCTGCTGGAGAGACTACGCAGGAAGCAACGGCACCGGCACCACCCCCCGTGCCGCGCTTCAGGCGCAAGCGCTGGCTGGCTCATGGACTGTACACCGGGCAAGAGCGCGAGGATGGACCGCCCAGTCAAAGCCGGAGTAGGAACAGAAGAAAGAGTCAGAACAACAAGAACGAAGCTCCGCCTCAGCGACGGCTGTTACCAATGCCCATGTTTGCGGGAGAAAGACTCCTACAGCGTGGAAGAGACTTTCAGCTTCCGTTCGATATTTTCTCGCCGCTGCCCCCCGGTCAACCAAAGCCTGACGAGTGGAGAAAGACTAATAAAAGTACGTGCCTTGTCTTGGGTTGTCGCACGAATCTTAATGGATTAGGAGCTAACTTGATGACTAGACGTCTTTGTGGGAGATGCTGGGAGCATATGGCGCGCAAACAAGCATATCGACTTGTCGAACTGTATGTGTACGGAGGAGACTGGCTGCGACGAAGATTGCCAGAATCGGCACATGCTGTACGAGTGTGATGATGGCAACTGCAGGCTGGGCCCTGACTGTGGCAACCGAAGCTTTGAAGAGCTTAAGCACAGAGCCAAAGTTGGTGGCAAGTACAACGTTGGTGTCGAGGTCATTAAAACAGAGGATCGCGGCTACGGAGTTCGCAGCAACCGCACATTCGAGCCCAACCAAGTCATTGTGGAATACACAGGTGAAATCATCACTCAGACTGAATGCGAGAGGCGAATGCGAACGGTGTACAAGAACAATGAGGTATGTCTTTACGTGTTTCAGCCTCCTCGCACTCCATACTAAAGGGCGCTCTAGTGCTACTATTTGATGTACTTTGATCAAAACATGATCATTGATGCTACTCGGGGGTCGATTGCTCGCTTCGTGAATCACTCATGTGAACCGAACTGCCGCATGGAGAAGTGGACAGTGGCTGGCAAGCCGCGCATGGCTCTCTTTGCTGGAGATCGGGGCATCATGACTGGGGAGGAGTTGACCTATGACTACAACTTCGAGTGAGTAGACAATGTTCGTCGAGCCAGAGGAGCTTCTAACATGTTTGACAGCCCCTATTCCCAGAAGAACGTCCAACAGTGTCGATGCGGCGCCTCTAATTGCCGTGGGATCCTGGGTCCGCGACCAAGGGAGAAGGACCGGCGCGCAAAAGAGCAAGACGAAAGGCAGAAGCTGGCTGCCTTGAAGAAGCCGGTCATCAAGCGGAAGGCCAGCACTGTGCTCAGCAAATCCCCTTCCGGCGTCACCAAGAACCGAAAGATTCTTACGACCAAGGCAGTTAAGGCAGGCGTGAAGAAGGCGGTCGCACGCGCCCGTGCTTCCGTGTCGAAACCGACTGCTGCTCGTTCCAAGCAGGCCGTCACTAAGTCAACGAGCAAGACAACCAAAGCGACTGTCAAATCGCCTGCCAGCACGAAAGCAGCTACGACGAAACGAACATCGAAACCTGAACCCACGAAAACCAAGATCAAGCTTCCCACCGTCAAGGCAACCAAGGCGAAGGCTAGAGCCGCGATGCCCAAGAAGTCCACGCAGACTAAGACCCAGAAGACGCCGGACGCGAAGTCTGCAAAGACCTCGGTGCCAGCAAAGATAACATCCAAGCTTAATCGGCCCTCCGCAGCCACCAAGGCGAAGATTCTTGCAGCAGCGAAGGGCACGAATTCACGAAAACGGCCGACATCAAAGAAGGAAGAGAGCAAGGGTACATCCAAGACCAAATCACCTACCAAAGGGGTGAAGCGGATTCCTAAGAAGCCGCAGAGTGCGACTAAGACTACGAAGACCGCGTCTCCGAGGAAGAGCAAGAAATAGAAGCTGCCCGGATATCGCAGTCGCAGCTCCCTCGATTTCAGATGAACTGCTGCTGTTCGTTCCAAGTTCTGATGACTGACCCCGCCCTCGTAGATTCGTCTTTTTGATATGTGCTTTTTTTCTATTCGTCTTTGGCGTGCTGGGTAACAACATTTGGAAAGGGGACCTCTACTCCATTTTATGTTCACGTATTTTTTCCTTCTGCTTGCAATCTCGCAATGGACTCGAGATTCACACCCTTTGTTTCTGTCTCGTCTACATCCTATGAGACCTATTCCCCTCAGGATCGAATCGAATCTAATTTCCTGCGAAGCGAGCTTCTTTCAAAAACTCTCACTACCCCTTCTTCCCTCCATTCATCCAAGCCTGCATCGATTGCATGGTGAAACAATATACCAACCCTCCCAACCGCTCCCCCATACCTTCCCCCCTTCTGTCCTTTCCACTTTTGTTAAAACTTCTTAACTCCTATGGCCTCTTCGTTTTTGTCCTCTTTCTTCGTCTTCGGAACTTGGAATTCTTTTTCCTCTCTCTTATCTCTTCAGGTTCCCAGGTGTTTCGGTCAACTCCAGATGTATGTTGATTTCGTGTATGATTTCATCCCTCTAATGTGATCCCGTTAATGCCATCCATCGGTGGTGGGTTATGTGAGCCAATTTCTCTGTTTGGGGGTCTTTGTTTCCCTCTGGCCATCGTCGGCCCTCTGTAGGAATGTCCGTCACGATACTTGCTGAAGGATATTGTTAGACTGGGTGGTAATGTCATGTGACCGATGCTGCGGCATGATCTTTGGGGGGTCGGCAATGGCTGGCTTGACTTATCTGGTAACTTGGTATGATTCGGTATGGTTGAGTTGATCAGATCACTCGCCTGTGCTGTACATATAGTACTGGTGTGTCTGGTCCTGGTGATCTAGTACTGTGGGTATATCCCCGTGTTGTGCACCAGTCACGTGATCACTATACGCTTCAAAACATACTACGGTTGGGGTGTTCGGCATTTCAAGAGGAAGTTGGGTGGTATACTTGGATCGTTCCTAATGATACGCTACTAGGTGGATAGGGTTACAGGAGGCTTCTCTGGGACATGTTCCAGCCTGTAATTGCGGACTACCGGTTGATTGTTTCCTGCCCACGTAGATCGACGGGCATAAATATATATCCCATGGGATCGGTATGTGAGAACCACCAACTTCCGCGGCATTGAACTTCTGCTCCCCGCCCACAAGACAAACAAGAAACAAGAATGTATAAGATTGAAAGAGGGCGAAAAGAGTTATTTAGATTGAAAGTTGAACCATATACATAAATAGTTTCCCCACACATATATCATTCCTGGTCCCCGGTTTCCGAAAGGTAGCTCGAATGGAACTGACTGAACGCGTGGACCAAAACACCTTGCTTGCGCCTTTTGTTCGGGATGAGTGAAGCTTGGGGAGTGAATTTAAGCGGCTGTGGTTGAGTCCTCGGCAGGTTTATCTGTGTTTTCGCTGGTTGGGTCGGGTGCAGATTCCACGGGTTCGGGGTTAGGTAAGGGTTGTTGAGGTTCGGCTGGTGGTGGGTCTTGGGGTGCGGTAGTGGTGCTGGGAGGCTTCGAGTCCTGAGTCTCAGGTTCCTGAGGTTGGTCTGGAGGTTGCTGAGGCTCAGGTGCAAATTCGGACTGTGGTGTTTCTGATGGGAGCTCAGCGGCAGGCACGGGAGGGGTGGATGTTGTAGGTGGTTCAGGGGTTTCGGGTGAAGGTTGCTGCTGCTGCTGCTGCTCTTGAGGCGGTGCTGGCTGCGGTGCTGGCGTAGGCGTTGCCTCCGAAGAAGCAACGGCAGCAGGCTCCTCTGGGCTGGGCCGCTTTTGCTCCTCGGACGTTTCGATAGATGGTTGAGATTGGACTGGGGGCTCTGAAGGCTGCTCCGTGGAAGTTGGCTGGTCGGGTATTTGCTCGGCTGGCGGTTCAGCTAATGTGCTCGTAGGCGGAGCCGCAGGCTCATCAGCAGAGGCTTCCGTGGCCTGCGGTGCAACTTGGTTACTTATCGAATCCTCAGACTGAGGCTGCTGTTGTTCGATAGCTGGCTTGTCCGCTTGCTCTGCAGCAGCCGGGGCATCAGCCGGGGCGGCAGCCTCGTCTGGGATCTGTCCTGTAGGCTGCCCAGGCGTTTCAGAAGTTGGTTGTTTGTCTGGTTGCTCAGAAGGTGGCTGAGAAGCCTGTTCTGCCTGATCAGGAGCAGCGGGCTGCTCCGCGGGCCGCTCCAAAACCGGGTCGGTGACATCTACAGATGAGTGGTCAACAGTAGTTGCCGCTGCGCTAGTGGTCTGAGGCGTATTTTCCGCGATTGGCTCTGTGACAGCAGACTGATCAATGGATCTCATCTCAACCTCAACCGTCTGTTCACTCGGCTGGGCTGTTTCTGATGGTTTGTCCAGGCTTGCTTCCAATGAGGCGAGTAGATCGGACCCCTTAGTTTCAGTATCTTCTTCATTGGGTTGAGCGTTGGATTTCTGGTTAAACAGAGGCTCAGGAGCTGATTGTTCAGAGTCCGGTTTGGAAGCAGCTTCCGGGAGGGCCGCGGAATCCTCCATGACCGTATCCTCATCGTGTTGGGGCTGCTCGGTCGGTGGCCCAGCTGTCTCATCAGTACTTCCCGATGGCTCAAACACTGATGATTCCGGAGCGGTCTGTTCCGTACTTGCTGTGATTGAAAGTGTCTCTGGGACGGGTGCCTGAGGTGTGTCTTGAGATGGTGCCTGCGAGGCTGTCTTTGCACTTTCTTGAACTGTCTGTTCCTGTGAAACTGGTTCCTGAAGAGGAGGAGACTTTATGCTTTGCTCCTGTTGAGGAGCGGCGTCTGCCATCTCCACGTCCTCGGGTTGTGCTGAGGTTTTAACCGGCTTTTCGGCTAAAACTGGCGTGGAGATACCGAGAGATACTTCTGAAGGCTCGAAAGGAACTGGTGGCCTTACTGTAGGTTGTGAAGGCGTCTCTGAGACAGCAGCAGGAGGTGTTTGAACAGCTGGTGGCTGCGGTTCAGCAACTGCCAGTGCCGGTGTTGGCAGGGGTTCCGGAGCAGCCGAGGGCTCAGTGCTTGTCGGTGGCACCGAAGTCTCTGGTGTCTTTGCATCAAGCATGGACTCATCACCATCGTCACTCTCATCACCCTCCTCACCTTCCTCATCGTCATCGTCCTGGCCAGCTTGGTCAACGGACAATCTCGAGGGATCCGTGCCATCTTCTTTGTCTGCCGCACCATCAGACCCCACTACCCCATGCACCTGAGAGGCATCCGCACCGTCGCCAGGAGCGAACATGACCTTCTTTCTTCTTCCCTTTCCGACCCCCTTGGCCTTGCGTTTCGGAGGGGGAGGTCGCCTCTTCGGAGGCGTCATTACATTCACCGATCCGGCTTCCGCAACTACAACGCCCTCTGCGTTGACCACCCCCACACCTTCGATGACAGTTCCTGGAGCCGGTGCCTCCGGAGTAACCGTGACAGTGCTACTCGGAGCAGCGACCTGAGCGTCATCGGTAATCTCTCCCTCAATCTTATGTCCTTCTGGCACCCAAGCCTCATAAATCGAAATGTTTCCTGTAGCCGGGTCGACCTTCTTGAAACGAGTCCGCCTCATCGGACCCGCACTAGATCCATCTGCATTTGCAGATGTACCATACAAAGATGGCATCCCCGGCCGTCTCTTCGCAAGGAATTCCACCTCCACGGCCTCGAGATGCTTTGGAACGGACGTCCACTTGCGGGTCACAAAACTGCGTTCCGTGCTCTGGACCAAAGGTTGCTCCTCCCCATCGGTCGCCTCCTTCTCCTCGTCTTCAAAGTCCTTCGAAGCTTGCCGAATATAGATGCAACCTGCACGGGCTGCGCGCAGGAGCGCTCGACTCGCCGGGGTCAACAGGTGGCTGTCTCGGGGCATTGGGTGTTCGGGGATAGTGGGTCGCCCTCCCGGACCTTGAGCGTCATTGGGGTCGGGTGCCTCGCTTTTGGGCTCTTGTGATACGGTCTGAGTCTGGCGCGTCCATCGTCGTACGGGGAGTCCTTCAAACACGTCGTGATCGACCTGACCCGTTCGGTTGCGGTTGGCGGCGTCACCGAATTGTCGCCCTGAGCGTGAGGATCTGAACTGCAGAGAGTCAGCTCTAGGTTCATAGAGGATTGTGTCTTGATTCAACCGTTCTGTAAGGGCATTGGAACGCGCGGAGTTGGTGCTAATCTCGGCATTGAAGCTGGCGGCGAGGGAACTTACGGTAGGTGGCATCGTGAGCGTTTGATGCTGCTAGCTCACTCCCAGGCCTGGATGAAATGCACACTGTGAAGTCTGTCGCCCATCCACCGAATGCAAAGAGGATATGCGCTTGGTTGCACGAGACAAATGGCGAGAGCGTGACGGTGAATCAGAGGAGCATTTGAGAAGGTAATGGTTGATTGCTTGACTGATGGTCGCGATGCGACCGAAGGCGGCAACAGCAACCCGCGGCCGGATCCACGTGACTGGCGCTGATGGCAGAATCCATTGATTTCCAATCAACCATTATGGACATTGAAGAAGTTGAAGTAGTTTAGAAGAGAGAAGAATGGTATTTTCAGAGAAGTTAGTATCGGTGCTACCTACAACGTACGCGGTGAGTCGGCTTTGATAAAATTACAAGAGCACCTCCAGTCTATCCAATCAATCCTTCATCGGCGGCGCAAGATATCAAGATCAATCTCCAGCAACTCCGTTCCTACGCCGGCAAATCATGAATCGCATATATAGTTTGTTTAGTCCCAGCTATGCCCCGGTCAGTAAGAATTTGACAAGCATGTCGAGGATGTTCATCTTACCCAGTATCCTTCTGGCGAACAATGCCACCCTCACTACCAGTTTGCTTGCCCTGGTTTCCCAATTAGCCGAGACTTCGATGTGAATATCCTCCAGGAACACTCACTGTATTCTGACCCTCGACAACCAGTTTGTCCATCTGATAGAACTGGCTGATCACAGTTTGACGCTGGAGTGTATGTTAGTTTTAAATCCTCAGTAGAATCGGCGAAGGGCCATGGAGCAGCGATGCTGGGCCCGAATGTCCCCGGAGCCATGACCTCGGCCTGGTATAACTAACCTTAAGCATCCGCAGATTCTGGATTCCATCCTGGATCAATTCTTGTATCCGTCTATCTTCCGTCTCCTTCTGATGCTCGTGGAAGGCATCCACTGTGCGCCGGCGGGCGTACTCGCGGAAGTTGTAGTTCGAGAACTGGGAGGACTGACGCAGCAATGAGCGGAACTACACGAATAGTCGTGGGCGATTAGTCTTCAATTTCAAGCTGAGCTGGTCACAGGATACAATCAGGCTCTCCATGAACAAGGGAAACATACCAAGGAGCGGACCTGGAAGGCCGTATCGCGCCCGATCGTAGGGACAGACATGATGTCAGGCTTTCAATAAGAGTGGAGAGGGGAGATTTTAGAATAGTATAGTTGTACAAGGGAGGATGAAAGTAAAGAGGATCGCTGAGATGGATGATGCCTGAAAGACCCAAATGCGGCTATCTCCGAGCACGTCTTTTCCGAGATGCTGGACTGCGAAGCGTCTAGATGAAACGGACTCAAGTCAGTATGTGACGAGTCATTCAAGTCGACCGCGATCAGTGAGCCAATATCACCCGGAGAGTCTGGAGTAGCGAGGTTTGTAGGATAGAGGGGTAAAATTACCTGAGAACCAGCGCAAGTCGAAGTGGCGTCGGAAGAGAAGCTGTTCGGAGCAAGCAAACCAAAGACCGGGTCACGTCTTCAGTACCGAGGAGACTTTCACAGGTGTTCAGTCCAGCACAAAATGAACTCGACGACACACAAGAGGTAAGGCTCAATTTTGATATGGGAAGAATGAGGCCAAAGGAGGATAAGGCGCGGAGAGAAAAGGCAGGGAACAATAATGGAGAATCTCGGGAAATTCTTTTGGTGTTCGGCGGAGGTTGCGATGACGGAGTTAGTCGCCCGCCCGGCCTCCTCTCCGCCGCTTTCAAGCTTTCCCCTCTCGTCCTCCACCAAAACAACCAGCGCCTGTCATATTGAAAATCAACTGCTGATCGGCGCTCTACTCTGCTATCTGGCTCACGGCTGATCTTCCATATCTACTGCGTGTAGCCCAATGGAGCAGATCCCGACCCCTCCGGCTTCCCGCCATGGTTCACCCTCAACGGAGCATGGCTCCAATGAAGTGAAGTCTGAACAGCAGCTGGATCATCTGCAGATGCTGGACGATTTGCTGGAGCGGTACCTTCACCTTTTAGATCAGCACCAAAAATTGCAAGCCGACTTGGGTGCCCGGCTGTCCTCGGTATGTTTGCGACTGTGCATGGCTTAACCATACATCGCAGGCGGACAATTGCTAAGATTCATCAGGGGTTCATTTCCCTCGCGCAGGCGAACTTTACTTGTTCACCTGGGCGCAGATACGGAGCAGATTACTACGATGAGCGCATGAAGGCGACAAGGAGAGTGTGAGTCCCAACACACCTTAGTTTCTTCGAGACTGTCCTCCTGTCTACCAGAATGCCTAACCAATCAATAAATCGCACCCATGCAGGAATCTACAAGAAGCGGCTTCCCACTCAGCTTCAGGGGCCGACTCGACTCCCAGAAAAGAAACTCTGGAGAAGACTTCCTCAACAAGCGGGTTCCAGCATAGCTTCGCAATCGAATCCGTTACTGTCGAGCAGCCCAAGGAGCGATCCGAGACGGACGACGAAAATGAATCCTCTTCAATGGAAGATACTGCAGATGCAGAAGACGATGGGACCCAAGACGCCGAAGAAAGCACAAGCCAAGCCGCTGCTTCAAACATGGCTGCTAATACCCCTCCAGCAGAAGCGGAGACAGATACGAGGTCGAAGAAAGCGAAGAGGCGTTTTCGATCGTCGGATCCGATCTACTGGTACGGAATCTTGTTGCCCCTTTCTTTGCGTAGCGCCCAGAAGTCCTTCACCGAAGCTGTCGAGGGTCGGGTCTCGGAATTGGCCAATATTGTTGTTGAGATGCGCACGGTGGAGCAGCAAATCAAGAAGGTAAGAAGTGCGATAGGCCAAGAATAAGTGAAGATGTCTTCGCAGGCACAAGCGCAACACGAACGCCGGAAGATGGAGTCTTTGTATATGAACCAGCGAGCTATGGACATGTTCTTTAATGAGCTCTAGAAGACCTCAGCTCCACCTTCCATCAATTCTTCGGAATTGTAGAGACATTGTCGGATCTCGCCGGTGGTCAGTCCTGTAGATAGACCCGATCTATTTTTGTAAACAGATAATGGAGTCAAATGGACCCAGGATAATGATATGATAGCGTTGTGAACTTGTAAAGGATGCTAGAGCTAGAGCTAGAGCTAGAACTAGACTTTTAACCATCATTGCTAGAGATAGGGGAAAAGGGGATCGATCACTGGGCAAAAGAGTTGTTTGTGGCCTGAGGTTCTTTTTTTCGGCCTGTTTCTTTCCATCTCCGCCTGCCTCCCTCTTATTCTCCTGCTAGCTTCTACTCCGTACTTCTTCTGTTTAATGACTTACTTCTTCTCCCTTCGGCATCATCATCATCATCCATCATATTCATCCTCCACTCGGTTCAGTCCCGCAATAAATGAAAAAAGAGGAGACTGGAACTATTCTTATCCATTTCTCCTGCATCTTTCCCGCGTGGCAGGTCCCTCATATGATCTTTGCCGGCCAGAACAATAAACAATACGTACCATCATAGCAGAGGCTGTTAAGCGATAAACTCTGTTTTAATCATTTTAATGACTTCCGTACCTCGCTAACCTCAAACTGGCCTTGTGCCCGGAGCAACTATCCTGGCGAGAATGGCCTAACAGTCCGACTAGCCCTTGTTTTCATGATTATGATTATGATTATTATCATCATATGGATAATGGTTATTGCAGTGTGATGCTGATCCATGGAATTGAGCCGTCAGCACTACCGCTGGAAGGACAGGACCAAATCATGGCACGAATGACCCCCCGGTGCACACGTCGCTTGACTCGCTTCATGAATTCCTGGTGGAACTGTCCCCATCCTCAGCCGACTGAGGAGTGAAGGCGATTCGTGATTCTTTCCTCCGACGCCCGTGTTTCCGGTTGTTCGTTCTGCACCATCATTGGACCTTCACCCACGGATGGACTTCATCACTGGTTTCATGTTGAAGTTCCAGGGCCGCAATGCCGCTCTCCAGCGAGTGGCACTTCTGCTCAAGCTGAGACTCTAGTGTCAACCGCCATGCTCTTTGGTCCCTCTGCGAGTCTTGGGTGTGCCCCGCCCGCCCAATGGCCGCTCGCCGTCCCTTGTATTTCCTCCATTATGGGTCTTAGCTCCGGTCCCTTAGCTCCTCCCGTTTACTCAGGATCTCAATTTCTGGCCTGTCTATGGTCCTTGCCGTCTCGCCTATTCGACTTCCCCGGTCAGAATGACTGGAATATGCATAATCTTGCGACTCTTGCTGTCTCCATAATCCAGCAGCGGTTTGCATTGTGTGCAAGATTATCTGCAAGCGAGGGAAAGGGGAAAAAAGCAAGTTGAAACAAAGAGAACCATCTAATCCATATCAATTGATCATCCCCGCAGGTGTCGATTTGTTGCGTCCGGCGCATCTCCATGAAACTAGGCACCACCCACTCTGGGAAGTGAGTACAACGACGGCATATTTGCGGCGGTTAGACCATCTTGAAGCCTAGTAGCAGTTTAGCAGGTAATCCGGTGCTCCTAAGGACCTAATCCCTTCCGTCACAAACGACCTCCCGTGCCTGTCTCCGCGCTATCGCTTTGGCTCCAACTCCACCTAGCCTTGAACGGGTGTGACTCCCAAACGTTTGCGCCGGCGCACCCTGCTTTGAGTCCAGTCCCTGGGCAAAGCACGGAAATGAAGTGTCTTTAGTATCTCCCTCCGACTTTTAGGTTTGCTTGGTTTCCGGAAACCCCTGGGCCTGACTTTCCGTCCGTGTGAGGCGTTATCGCCCAAAGACCTGCTTGCCGTCTATACACGCGCTGGGAGTTGTTTTCTTCTCTTTTTACTTCGTACTGTCCAGTCGTCCGCTCTTTTCTCTTGGGGGTAAGGGCTAGAGGCTCTTTTGATCCCTTTGGACGGTTCTTCTTTTCTTTGTGGGAGATTCTGTAAGTTCCCATTTCGTGTCTTAGGTGAATCATGACGAAGGCTTGCTGATTTTCAATCTCTGTTCTATGCGCTCAGGGGCTTGGTGACTAGCCGGTGATTCTTCTTAGACTTTGCAAGTCTTATACTATGTTCTTGTGACTTAGGGTCTTTGATTGTTTCTTCCTTTTCTTTTGAGTAAGACCTGTTTCTTGTGGTATGCACCCTCGATCGTCTCGCTGCCTACAATGTGCATCAGCCGACTTGCGACATTGAACTTACCTGTCCCCTCTAGAGGCATTGAGTGCCCTTACGATCATTCTCGACAACCACCTTCTTTTGAAATCCCAAGTCTGTTGTTACTAGGCAACAGACAGACGCAACTTATCAAACTTCCATCAGCGTCACCCGCTCAACCTGTCTACAATCGCTCGCTTATCAACGCCGCGGCTGGGTTACCTTTCGTCAGCGATCAGTTGCCAGCCAGCAGAGCGGTACCAGCTCCTGTTCTATGCGCTAGCAAGGATCGAACTCACTCACCGCGACATCATATCGCGCTTGCTGCAGTGGTCACCTCCCGTTCCACCCTAATACATGGAACCTAACCCAGCGGATACGGGCTCTGAGCCCGTAGAGAGAAAAGGATCAGTACGACGAGCAAGGGAGATGCTGAAAGCTGGAAAACGTCCCGAGCCAGCTCCAGAACCAGTGTCTACTTTCAGGACCAATCCGGCTCATCTGACACAATGGCCCCTACCCAACGATGGACTTCAGCAGATCGACGTAGCCAACGCTCACGCGCGACTACTAGTTCCTAAAGGTCCTCCGCCACAGCGACCCCCACGGCCCGACTGCCCTTCGCCTTCTGTGTACTCGGAAAGAAGCGTTGACGTTGTACCCAGCCCGCTAAACATCAAACGGCCTGTCCCGTCCTTCTCGCAACCTCTCCCGATTCAACATGCACCGCGACCAGCAATCAGAATTCCAATTCCCCCTAGCCCAAGCACTCTTGCAGGTTCGACGCCCCGGGCATCCATTGCCACTGAAGACCTATTTAGACAGTCGGGAGTTTCGTCAGTCGGTACAATCTCTCTTACTGACCTGCCGGGGACGGCTCATTCATCACCCACGGAGCATGTTGCTTCCTCAGCATTTCCACTGAAAAAAGCGGGTGGCCTTGCTCCGCCGATGCCAGCAGCTCAACCAACTGATAATCGTGGATCCTCCATCTCACCGATTCCAGAGGAATTGCCCGACAGCCCCACGATCTCAAGAGAGCTTCACGCGCCAAGTCGCCCATACCCTCCTAGTTGGTGCTCTGGGCCAGCCGAGTCGGAGATATTAGGTACTTACCTGGAAGGCGATTCCGATGATAGTGGATCACAACATTCTCTGCAGGTAGCCGCCCCCGCGCTTCTGAGGCAGGCAAGTATCGGAACCCGCGGAAAGCCTGCATTGCGCACCATCCAGAAACCCAGCACAAACTCGCCTGTACCACCATCGGAGAAAACCCCAGCGTCTGCCAGACCAACTACGGCCGATACAGCGGCCACGGCGGCAGTTTTGAAAGAGATAGCTGCTGGAAGAGAGCGGAACGATAGCATGTCAACAGTATCGTCTGGCTCGACACATTTTGGTACGGAGAAAGCGCCGATTATGCTGGATCTCAGTGCTGAACATCCCGCTCTGGCTCGCCCCTACGATAACAATGCGGCCCTGAGAAAAGAGGTTGGAGGACTCCCGAAGGCAGCGCCGACAATAAGCGAAACAAGGCCAATGGGCCGTCGACCTCCTCGATTGAATATGACTGCTGTTCGTGATGCAGAGGCTCGTGGAAGTTTAACAAGCTTACCTGATTTGATTCGCCGAGCGACCAAACTCGCGTCTAATCTCGAGCATGGGCGAACTGCAAGCAGAAATGATCTACTCAATGGAGGAAACCCTCGTTTTCGTAAGTGACCTGGTTGTGTTTGATCATTATATCACAGAATGCTGATACGTTCACACAGACCAGAGACGTAACTCGGGATCAATCCAGAGTATTCTAGCATCTTTCCCACCCCCTGCCGCGGTACAGGACGGCGCTCACTCATCCTGGCCTTTCTTTTTCCGACGATCCACGCTCCATCAAATCCACTCCAACGAGCCTCCCAAAGAAGTGGATCAGGAAAAAGCCCAACCAAAGCAGACCCGCCGCTGCTGTGGTATGCCCCCGTGGCTTTTCGGACTTGTTTGTGTCATTATTATTATCATCATCTTAGCCGCTGTTCTGATCCCTGTTTGCTTGGTCGTTCTTAAGCACAAGTCGAGCGGGTCTGACTGTGCGAAGACAACGCCGTGTGAGAATGGTGGTGTCAGTGTTTCGAGCGGCAATGTCTGCTCCTGTGTCTGCGCCAATGGCTTTACAGGCACTCGTTGCGCAACTGCCGGCGATGCCAGCTGTGTTACCGCCAAGATCAACAACAAGAGTGCCACCATGGGTAGTGACCTTCCAGACTTATTCGAAGGCGCCCAGCAGAACTACAGCATCACACTGGATGAGACGACTATCATGGCACTGTTCAGCCAGAACAATGTCTCGTGCACGACCGAGAATAGCCTGGTGTCCTTCTCCGGCATTTCAACGAGCAGCAGCAAATCACGCCGTGCTTTCCTTCCCTGGTACGACCTGACGGAATCTTCCAACTCCAACCCACTGCCATTTGCCTACGAACAACCACCGCCGACCTCGGCCACACCGAATCTGCCCACGCAAGTTCTCGCTGCCCGTGCCTCTATTGCTACAGAGAACGGGATCATCTTTGACGACACTTCACCGACCAAGACCGGGCAAGCTGCGACGGACACCGCCACCGCCACAGCAACAGCCACTCATGCAGCGACGGCCACAGATGTCCGTCATCCAGAATCTCAAACGACATCGACAGTGACAGCAGCAAGTTCTTCGCCCACGTCAACGGCGAGTGCGTCGTCACCCTCCAATTCAACCACGGTAATCACAAGCAAAGCCCTGAACTTCGCTCGAATCTCGGTCCTGTACATATTCCAGGAGACCGGCACCCTGTCTGCTGCCACTTTCGCAGAGAACGACCTCCAGCTGTACCTGACGAACGTATATACCGAGGAGTCGAAACACATCCATGCCGTCGACCTGGCTCCAGCCGGCTTGAAAGGGAATTTCACTCTGAACTTCGACCAGTATGAAATCACCTTGCCGAATGGGAACGTGGTCGGAGGATGATTGATATCCTTAGGTGTGGATTTTTAGTGGTTCAATCCTTTTTTTGCGCAATTCATCATAATATTAAGCCCAATTGTACTCTTAGCACTAGCACTCGCAATGTCAATAAATCTGCCCGGCCCAAGCCAACTCTTTCGGAATTCAAAGTATGAAGCGTAGCTGGGAAGTAGTAGAGTAGCTGAAAAGTTTTTCTTGTGTGTTTCCTAGCCCGTAAAAATAGATGAGGAGCCGTACTCTTCCTAATAAAGATGATCATCCATGATAGTGCAAGCTGATACCAATTGACCCCCTTACATATGCCCATATCTGGAACAATTCGAGTAAAAAAGAAAAACCCTATGTACATGTACAAGTATACAACCGCCAAGCCCACCCGAAAACTCCAACCTGCATGCATATGTGCAACAAAAACAAAATTTCCACGAGGTTTTCCGCAATCAAGGCTCATGTTATACACAAGCACCAACGACGTTCAAGATGATGTTACAATTTCATCTCAACACCAGCAGAACCAGAAAAAAAAACTAGGTAAAGAGCGACGCATTCGGCGCCAAGCCCTCGTAGGGCGAATAGTCCTCGACCAACCAGTCGAGCCGGGCGCGACGCTCATCGAGGATCATCCCCTCGGCCTCCCAGCGCTTCCGCTCGAGGATCTTCTGCTGTACCAGACGTTCGCTGCTGCTGCTGCTGCTGCTGCTGCCGGGGAGCCACGACGACCATGACGAGGACGAAGAAGTGCGTTGGTGGGCGGCCTTCTCGACAGCCTCAGCTTCCTCTTGTTCGGCGCGGGCGATGAGCTGGTTGACCATGGTCTTCCAGTTGGCGAGGCCGACGCGGAGGCAGTCGGCGCAGCGGGCGTTGGCAACGGGTTCGGGATCCGAGCCGGGGGAGTGCAGCTCGAGCATGGTGGCCTCGGCCATGTCGACGGCGTCGCGGGTCCAGGCGAGGCCGGATTCCTGGGAGGAGGAGGCGAAGAGGATCTCGCCGATGTAGGTCATGAGGGCGGCTTGGTCGCAAACGGTGGCCGGGGTGCGGGCGGGCGGGGCGTCGCCGGTGGGTGGCGGGGGCGGGTAGGCGGCGGGGCGGAGGGTGGTCTGCAGCTTATTGAAGAAGGAGCGGAAAGGGTCCGGGGAGCGGGGCAGGGTCGGGGTGTACGCGGTGGTGGGCTCGCCCATGCCCGCGGGGATGGAGCGGCGGGCTTTGAGGACGGAGGTGAAGATCGAGAGCGCGGTCGGGAGGTTGCCCTGGCGGGCCTGGTGGACGGCCTGCGCCGTCGACACGCGCAGGATGTTCTCGGACGGGAAGTGCTGGCCGTCGTTGCGGAGGATGCCGGTCTTCGGGTCCACCACCGCGATCGGGTCGCTGGTGGTGGTGCCGGAGACCGCGATGTCCATCGCCCACTGGTACACCTCATCCGCGGTGGCTGCCAGGCCCTTGTAGGCGAGCCAGTCCGCATACGCGAGCGCCGCCTCGACCTTCTGGCCCGTGGTGAAGCCGCGCGTCGTGAGGATCTTCACGTAGAAGGACTGCGGCGGCGGGGAGGCCGGCTCGCAGTCCTCCTCGTGGAGCACCTTCTTCTGCTTCGTGGGCATGGGCTTGGGCCGCGGGTTGGAGGGCCCGACGACGTACTCGGCCGGCGCGGAGACCAGCTGCTTGCGATCCGTCATCCAGCCTTCGAGGGACTCGGCCGCTTTGGCGGCGCCCATCAGCGCCTGGTAGTAGCCCCGGCGCCACGGTTCGCTCTTGGCGGTGATGTCGTAGCCCGTTTTCCCGACCCCGTCCACCAGGAATCCGCCCTCGGCTTGGTCCACGATGCCCTTGCCTTCGAGTTCCGGATCCTCGAGCTGTTCCAGCAGGTCCCGCAGGAAACTCCGGACCATGGCCCAGTCGGTCATGAGCTTGCCGATCTTCTCCGGGTTCTGGTGTGCTTGCGCCGACCGCAGTCGCCAGCGGTTCTTCCACGACCATTCGTCAGGCGTGGGCCATTGGTGTTCGAGCTCGGCTTGGTTGACGCCAATCTGGACCACATTGAATAGGAGGAGGATGGCGGTGAATGAGAGAGCGAGCTTGAGGCTGCCTGAGATGCGTCGGCGGTAATAGTTGCGGCTCTCGGTGGAGATAAGACGGGCAACATGACGGCGGAGGTGGATGGACAACGGGGGAAGAGGGAGGCTGGTGGAGGTGGGCGTGAGGAAGTCAAGTTGAGGGCGACTGGGCGGCGGGGCTAGAACGAGTTGTCGCGAAGTCTGTGTAAATGGTCGTCTAATGAGGTGACGAGCGCTGTGTAGCACCCGCAATCGCAGCGGGCGATTGAGGCCCGCTATTCGAGAGACGGACATGCGAGGAGGAAACATCCTCAGGGATTTGAGTTGTGTGACAGTTGTGTGGTTGTTGTTGGAGGAGGGACTTGAATAACTGCTGAAATGCGGAGATTGAAGGTTGAAAGACGGAAGAGCCGTGTTGGTGTTTGGCGTGTTTGCATTTCTGTCTCAATCGGGCTTAGCTTACTTAAGAGCAATTGCAGTAGCATAGTTACTATGGGGGAATCAATAATAATATTCAAAGCCAGTAATCTCTATAGACAATGGTCCTTCTAATCACCCTGGATCTCACAAGCCCTGCCTGTATTCCACATGCTACCATGATACAAGAAAATAAAATCACAAAAGTTTTCCGAAAGCGCCTACGCTAATTTAGTTGCGGTCGAAGTAGCCCTCGCTCTCGAGCATGAGGATGATCTCGTGCACAATGCTGCGAACGCTCTGCTTGGAAACGTCGACAGTGAGATCGGCGTTGGAGGGAGCCTCATAGGGGTCGTCGACACCAGTGAAGCCCTTGATCTCGCCGCGGCGAGCCTTGGCATAGATACCGCGCTTGTCGGTCTTCTCGCAGTGCTCGAGAGGGGTGGCGACGTGAACAAGGAAGAAGTTACCACCACCCTGGGTGACGGCGTCACGGGCAGCCTTGCGGGACTCCTCGTAGGGAGCGATGGGGGCAGCGATGACGGCAGCACCGGCGCGGGTCAGCTCACCGGCAACGAAAGCGATGCGCTGGATGTTGGTGTGGCGGTCCTCGCGGCTGAAGCCCAGCTCGGAGGAGAGCTCGTGGCGGACGGTGTCACCGAGCAGCAGGGTGACGGAGCGACCGCTCTGCTGGTTCAAAGTGACCTGAAGAGCACGAGCAATAGCGTCCTTGCCGGAGTTCATGTAACCAGTAAGGAAGATAGTGAAACCCTGGCTGAAGCGGGGAGGGTTGGACTCGCGCAGGATCTTGACAACCTCGGGGTAGGAGAACCACTCGGGAATGTGGGCACCGGTACGCAGGCGGTTGCGGAGCTCGGTACCGGAGATGTCGAGGGTCTTGACGCCAGCGGGAACCTCGTCCTTGGGGCGGTACTCATCGGTGTCGGGCAGGTAGGTGACCTGCTGGAACTCGACGACCTCAATACCAAGCTCGTCCTTGTACTTCTCGACAGCGTGCTGAGCATCGTAAGGGCCGTAGAACTCCTGACCCTTGGAGTTCTTACCAGGACCAGCGTGGTCACGGCCGACGATGAAGTGGGTAGCACCGTGGTTCTTACGGATGATGGCGTGCCAGATGGCCTCACGGGGACCACCCATACGCATGGCCAGGGGCAAGAGACCGAGAACGGCCATGCCGTTGGGGTAGCGGGGGAGGAGAGCCTGGTAGGCACGGACACGGGTGAAGTGATCAATGTCACCGGGCTTGGTCAGACCGACGACGGGGTGGATCAGGACATTGGCCTGACGGGCACGAGCAGCGCGGACAGTCAGTTCACGGTGAGCTCTGTGCATGGGGTTTCTGATTGATCGTTAGTCAGGTTCTGGGACAAGGAGGGAGAACAGGACAGAGTCTAGATCAGCCACACATACCTAGTCTGGAAAGCGACAACTCGGGTCCAGCCGAGCTTGTCAAAGTGGACGCGCAATTCCGCGGGAGTGTCTAGAGATCAGGTCCACTAGGTCAGTCTGGCGCTCTGCATTATAGTTTCAGGTATCCGCGCACGGATGGTGATGACGACGTACAGCGAAGACCGACATAGTCGTAGTGGTTGAGCTTGTTGACAGCCTCGAGCTTGCCACCAATGTAGAATTCCTGGACCTTGGTGTTCAGGTACTTGATGGCAGGGTGCTCCTCATCTCCGCCAAAGACCAGCTTGGCTTCCTTCGTCCTAGATCAGGGGTAAAAGCGCACTCGTTAGCTCAACCGTCCAACCGCGTCATCAAGACCCACTATCTGCAAGTCCCCGGCACTCTGTAACGCCCGCTTGCCGTAGACCGACGGAACGCCAAGCGATGCCACTCCCGCTTCAACTTGATTTTGAAACGTCGATCAGGCCATCGCGAGCACCGGGAAACTTTTTTTTCCCGTCACACGTTCACAAGACAGTAACTTGGGTATTGACTCACTTGTCAGGGCGGTAGATGTCCTCAATGGTCAGAATGGCCAGGTTGCGGTCGTCACGGAAATCACGAAGGGTGACACGAGAGCCGGCCTTAAGCTTGAGGTCGTCGATGGTTTGCTGGGAGGCATCGAGAGTAATGGGCATGGAGAAGACGTTGCCGTCAGCGAGGCGGCAGTTCTCGCAGACACTAGAGAGCGGAGATGACGATCAGCACACTGGTTGCTTCGCTTTCAAGGTCTTCCAACGACTTCAACATCAAGTTTTGTTGAATGAATAGCTTGATTTGTAGCAGCATGTAAAATGCGATGCGATGGTCACATACCCGTCGAAGTCCTTCTGGGTCATGAAACCTGGGCTAAAGTTAGCCTGCGAATCTTTTGCGGTCCAATAATAGCAATTGGACCTGGAGTGGCCTGGAATATCCGACTAACCCTCGAGAGGACTGAAACCACCGTTCATGATGAGTTCCAAATCGCAGAGCTGACGCTCAGTGAGGGAGATGGCGGGGAGGATCTCGGCCTCGGCGGCCAACTGGTCGTGGCGGGGAGCATCGCGGGCGAGAAGGTCCTTAAGGACACCACCGTGAGGAGAGTTGGCCATGGTGTATGGAGGGAATATGAGGAGGAGAAAGGAGGATGTAAGAGGAAGAGGAGGAAAGAAAGGGAACTCCGATGGAGAGGGGGGGTGAGGGAAGAAGAGAAGTTTATAAATGGAGAGAGAGAGGGGCAGAGGGAAGGGAATGGATGGAGGGGGAACAAGTAAAAAAGAAAGACAAGAGAGAGAGGAGAGGGGGAAACTAAGTTACTAAGTTAATGCCCGCGGAGATAAAAAAGATACTACTACTACTACTAAAACAACCTGGTTGCTCAAGACCAAGGAAATTCCAGATTGGAGTAACTATTCGTCTATGGAATAATGGAAGACCAAAAAAGGCCAGACAATTGAGAAATCCAGGCTTCGTCAGATGGTGGAGCAACCCGACTCTTGGTTAGGGGAGGGTCTACGTATGTTATCCTCGTCACTTTCCAATTGAGTGTCGAGGTGAAATTGTAAACTGTAAACTCTATGATGGATGGATGTACCTGACTTTCTTTCTTCTTTTTTTTTTTTCCTTTTTTGCCCCTCGGTCGCACGGATTTCTACCTCCGATTGCGCCATTCCAGGCTCTGAGCATGCTATGCTTGTACCCTTGTTTCTAGCCAGCTTCTAGAAGGCACATCTTTGTTTGCTTGAGGATCTCTGAACTATACGAAGTATCAATCGATTCAGTATCATCCATCCATCCATCCGTCCAGGACTTCATCCTCTACCCCACAAACCCCCTAATTGCTCAAAGACACGAGTCCCTCGGAGATCTGAGCGACAGAAGAAGCACCAGCGTCGTCATCGTGCACCTCCAGTATCAGCCACATAATCTCCCACGCCGGCAATCCGAGGCAAGCATGGAGGACTGTCATACCCGCAAAAAGCCATGATTTTCAGGGGGAGCCAACATGTACACGTAGATAGATGTGTCGGAGGGAAAGCGCCCCAGCATCCCGACTGAATGATTGCGATGCTCCGAGACGATCCTCATGCAACCTTTAAAGCCGAGATGAAACGAAGCTGGGATGAGCCTCCTCCGATCGGCGGATCGGCTCAGGCTTCCTTCAGGTGTCAACCTCCAAGTTGAACCCCTCCCCGTCTCCGATCCCAGGCACCAGTGGGTCACGTGGGTACCCAGAACAATCACGACATCCCCAGTCCGGCTTGCGTGATCGCTGACGCCATCGGGGAGGGGGAGATTTTTTTTTTCTTGATCCGCGGGGCGGATCTTGGCACGTCGCTGCTCAGGTGACCCGCTTGCCCTAACCTTTACTTGCATTCAACACCATATCATAGAGTCTAGCATTCATGAAAGAACTATTAACTAAGAGTTTAATCTCGTGCCTAAGGATATGAATTCATGACCATGAGTACCAGGAAATATTACTGGGCAAATCTGTCTCTCTAGATGTCGAGGTTAGGGTGGGAAGTATCACGGGTTTTTAAAGATGATGCGATACCAAGCATTGATGTCGACAGGGTAGGTAGCATATAGACCCTGCCCAGAGAAGCGGTTCATCCAAACCACCCCCAGGTGACCTCGACGCGCTTGAGCCTTGCGGCCCGCAGAAGGAACTGTCCATCTCATTCCGATGAGGTTCGTGGCTGCCTAGTCCAGGGTCTCAGGGTCCAACGCGGCACAGCACACGGCCGACATCCACAGATCTGGCACCGTTGCGAACTGAAAACCAAATCCATGTATTTCTCTCAAAGCAGGTGGTGGACATGCCCCAACTCTCAGCTTACGTACGTCCCCGGAGCTGCTGCTGCCATGGATCAGCAGTATATGACATGTAGTACGTAGCAACAAGAGATCAGGCTGGATTCGCAATCATTGTCCCCATGGTCCAATACCAGAAGACTTCTGGATATCATGATCCAGCAACAGGGTTGTGCTGTTCGTCGTGGCTTGACACGGTTGTTGCACAGTGGATACAAGACCCTTCGGTATACGTCACCCCAGACGAGCTAGACCCTCCTGTATATTCTTAGTTAGTCCGGACAAAAGCCTTAATCTAACCTCTGTTCATCACGCAAAAGCAATCAATTGAGCTGGTTTTTCTTTCTATTCATGAAGTGTGTAGCTGTGTCTGTGGCTGGGAGTGTGCATGACTTGGTGGGTGACCCTTCTCTACAAACAGATGAGATTGATAAGATAAGATCACTGGCTGTGTCAGGATGTCTCAAACCCATTCCAAGTTGTCCCTTGATCACACCATTAATATAGCCAGGATCGACTGGCGATCGCCCATCACAACTGTTTCAGAAGCCCAAATTCCTCTCTCCAAGATGAAATCGCTTAATGGTAAAGACAATGCTCTGTTGCTGTCTATCTCGAATGAAGTATCTCTTCCAAGCCTTGAGTGCAATTATACCATCAACCTCGAGCTCAT